ATGGGCATGAATGTCTGTGTTAGAGTTAGGAGAGATTATAATGAGTTTTTAATTATCATGATTTTTGTTGAAAAAAACTTTTTACATGTTAGTGTTTTTATGTAGTGATTGAGGTTGAGATGTCCCATTATAGTACGGTTATTAAGGAGTCGGAAGGAAGCCACTAAATTCTTCTGATCCTTAATGATCAGGAAACATGGGAGATCTTAATATTTCTTGATTTTTGTACACTATTAATGTATATATTATTGTTATAATTTTTTATATGATTATGTTAATATTTTTGCTTTTGGACCTGTGAGCATATTGTATGCACACAGGTGCATTCGTTGAACTTTATTTGGGCCCCAAGCCTTGCGTTGTAAACATGTGTGTGCATATTTGTGTTTTTTATTCGCTTTATTTTGTGAAATTTTAAATATTTTCATTATTACTTGTTTTACTATCAAGTTTAGGTATTTTTCCACAAATTAATAATTTATTGAATAGTTATTCTAATTTGTATCTCTTGTATTGCTGTAATAAATTGTTTCACGTTAACTGTTTTCTACAGCGTCTGAGATTAAATACCGACCGATTACTGTGTTATCCGATAGACTGGTAATCGTCGACATGGTGAACCCAAAATTTGTTGAACTCATATACTCAAATTCTCTCCAGCATTACTAAGAGTGGTTGGTTAGTACTATCTTCATGGCAGAAGTTGGTCATCCTGAGAGTAATTAATGTCTGAATTGGATCTTTGTTCATCAACTTAATCCTTCATTATGTTTCACAAACTTTTCACTTTTTGCATAATTGACGCGCATAGTAATCAAGTAAAAATTTAAATACATGCAGTACTGTTCCTTCATTTGAGTTTTGTAAACCATTTTGGCTACTTCATTTTCGTTATGAGAAGTAATTAGCCTGCAAGCAACTATCTTATTTTAAGCAAATTTGGAGAAATTGATTTATAGACGAAAGCGTCTGCGTACCAACTTTCCCGTGATGACTTAGAAGCATATTGACAGAAGCACGTGTATTAACTGGATGGAAATAAACACACTTTGACTTTTGTAAAAATTGATGAAAAATAGTTTCATGTACTTTTGCGTTAGTTGAGTCTATCGTTAGCCCATTAAGTTGTTCAGACCGCTACAATTTTATTTTTGAAGCCTTATGAAGTGGATTTTCGTCTAAGTTACGTCAAATCATTATCATGTCGTCATTGTCATTCAGTAACATCAACTACTTGCTCTTGCAAAATGCACCACAGGTTAAAGAGTACTACTCTCTGAAATGATTTCTTCAAATATTCCACCAAAAATTGTAGCTTTTTAATTTTATAGTAAGCAGTGACAGGAGGTAGTATGATGCTGAGTAATCTTTGCAAATCTCATAATTCACTTTGCTTCTGCTGTTCGTTGTCAGATTTTGCTCATAAGTACTGTTAAAATGCACTGAAATGCATTCCCGTTCTTGGAACATTGACTTGTTATACTCTTTATCAAACTTATGCAAAAATAAATAAATCGAAAAAATATGATCAGCAAGGGTATTTCAAAAAAATATGATCAGCAAGGGTATTTCATTTAGATGATACTGTAATTTGCGTCAAAACGTATAAAAAATCTCATTAAGTAATTCAACTCCATCAACGATGCTAATTTGAAAATGACCACTCTCGAGGTAACAACAGGTTAACGACTTGAAATATTTAGACAACGATTAAAAAATAACTTTTACATTTGATCAGTGGCTGCAAATTAAATTTCAAGAGAAAATTCATTCAGTATTTAAAAACTGAATAATTTGTTACGAGTAAATAGACAAAAACGTTTTCACAAATTAATCTGCCAAGTTTACTTTACATAAGAGCACAATTACTCTATCTTTCATATATTTTCTCACAATGTTTTTACAAAACTTCCACATGTTTAAAATGCTTTCGAATAATTATTATCTAGATTTGTACAGGAACGCAAACGAAGTAATCTACATAACCACAAACACTGAATTTCCTCCTTTTATAATTTAAACCCAAATGTTTCAGTAACGTTTTTTCCTTAACGCTCAAGTGAATTGCTTTTAGTTTTACTTCTATTGTTTTACTCCTAATATTGTTTTACTTCTACTTGTGTACCTAGAATCTACACGGTCTCCTTTTCAATAATTTCGTAATTTCACGTGAAAATCTTGTGAAAACCACCAAATTCTTAAATCCAGATCAAGTTTGTAACTATTAAGTTTGTAACTGAATAACATGTTTGCCATCAAATCTTTGCCAGCATCATCAGAGTCACGCAATACTGAAAATAAACCCAACAAAACAAAAAGTTTGAAGACTCCAAAGTCCACACACCTGGAACAAAATATGCACTATGTGGATCTTTGAGCGAAGTATTAGGCTGCAATGTGCAAAGTTCGACCACAAAATATAATTTTCAGTGGATGCGTCGCGTTCGGCGGGCGTATCGTTCGGTCGCTTTCAGTGAGAAGTGTTAAACATGTCCAAGATCTACCGAGATTCTAGCTTACTACTGATCTTATTAGCATGAATTATACAGACCACAATGAATACACTTTAAAGAAGTGGTGGAAAAGTCCTTAAAAACTCAAATTACGATTGCCAATAAATTTCTACCCCACTTTTCATGGTTTGTCTAGTTTTAATATCACTGTGATATGATTATTATGTTAGGTGAAATTTAGTTGATAGTCATTAATCGAGCATCACAAGATTCGAAATCATTTGGGACTTATGGCAACAATTATCAATCTTGCTGGGAAAGTTGCTCTAGTCACCGGTATGTTATATTGATATTGTGGTCGTAAATTTGTTAGATTTCAGATTCTAATTTTATGTCTACTGAAATTAAATTAAAGATTAAAATAAGACACGTGCTGACACAATAATATTTCCTTTCTCTTAGCTTAAAAAGTATCATTCTGGTACTAGCATGAGAAATATGAGACACAAGCGCATGAAGATATATGAATACTGAATTTTATTTGCTATTACACTTAAAGTTCGGGTGGTTTTTATTTTTATGCGACGACTTCATTGGTCAAAGTTCGTTTTCTTTCGTTCGGCATGCAGAGGGTGTTTAGTGTCAGGTAATGTCGTTGGTGTAGTATGCTGTGTTAAGTACCTTAGAATAAGTTATAGTCAGCGTTGCTGAGTAGAAGTGAGTATTGAGAAGTAAGAGTTGACTCTTGTCACTTAATAAGTACGGACTAGTTCAAAGCAGTGTCTTAAGACATTTAATTTGCTTTTTATTCATAGTAGTGATTATATATATAATATGAATTTTCACTGTATAGATATTATTTAGGGGCTACATCTGGCATAGGCTATTCGACGGCTGTGCTATTTCATGAACTTGGTGCAAGCCTCATTGTAACCGGTAGGAATATTGACCGTCTAAAAGCGCTAGAAAATCGATTAAAGGATGGAAAGGTTACTTTTAATTGCTTCAAAGTTAATCTTTATTGAATTCATAAATTTAGTATTTCTGTCGTTATAGTTTTTGTGTAGGTTTCTATTAATACATGGCATGTACATGTTAATTCTGTATTTTTCATATTGCATTAGTGAATGGAAACCTGGAAAAATCAGTCTAAAATTTCGTAATTTAGCGTTTATTTTACTGAATTTGTTTTTCACATTTTTCGTAATCTTTTATGAATTGACTCTTTCAATCGTTTTTCGCATATATCTCAGCATATTTTTTTATGCACATCTTCAAACATTCTAGATATTTGTGTTTTTTTAATAGTTTATTCTTTTCTCTTTTCATGTTTCATACCAGTGCTGTGAAATTCATTTTGAAGCGAATGTTATGAATATTTGTTGTTCAATTTCAATCTTTAGGGTCAAGTTTTGGCTGTTGTTGCGGACCTTACTAATGAAGAAGATATTCGTGAGCTTGCCAAAGCAGTTGTTGCAAAGTTTCATACACTGGATATTTTGGTTAGATGATCGTAGTGATCTTTCTTTTACTTTTTATTAAAAAACTCAGGATTTTACTTTAGGCGTATTTTAAGTTGCCACATATAGTAATCAAGCAAGCTTTGAAATCAGCTGCAAACTTATATTCCTAGAAAATATCTTGAGAATTTCCTCAAATCTTTCCTGCTACAACAGCTGATTTTTGGAAAATGAAACTGCTTTATTATGTGATTGCTGAATAATATCAGTTACAGAAATCTCAGTTTTTTAGAATTTTGTCTGCAACTATGCTAATGCATAACGAAATTCATGAGTGGAAAATACAAATCATCAGATTTTTTGATGTAATGAACTTTACTTAAGATTATTGAATAATTTTTAAGTTATCGATATTCTTGTATTGAAAATATAAGAATATTGGTGGCTTAAAAAGTAACTGGGAGTCAACGTTCAATCATTACCAATGTTTCAAAATTATGGAGAAAGAGTTTTGAAATTTAATATCAGGTCAACAATGCTGGAATTATTGATAGAGGTACGATTGAGGACACTACCTTGGAGCGTTATGATCGGATAATGTCTACTAATTTACGCTCAGTTTTCTATCTTACTCAGTTATTGGTTCCTCACCTAATTGCTTCTAAAGGTTCTATTGTCAATGTATCCAGTGTTAATGGAATAAGATCAGTTAGTATATTATTCAGGATTTTTGATAGGTTTTGCTATAAAGTTTTTTTGATTCTTTCAACTTGCGTAATTTAAATATTCAAAAAAATTTCGCAATAGGATAAGATGGAAGTCTTTTTTATTTGACCTTTTCATTCTGACAAGTAATTCCGAAATTAGTAACAAATTATTTTTTATCATCGCTGAAAGTAAATGCGCATAAATTTGGTGATATTTGGTAAATTACAGGTTTAATATTTAGTGTTACAAAAATGACAAGTTAACCATGTTTGTTCGAGTGTTTTTAGAATGTAGTTTTAAATACGTTCTGTAAACATGTACTTTTATCTAGTTCCCAGGCGTCTTAGCATACAATATATCGAAAGCTGGCGTTGATCAGCTAACACGTTGTATTGCACTTGAATTAGCACCTAAAGGTGTTCGTGTAAATTCAGTCAAGTTAGTTGCACTTTTACTTACAGTATAATATTGTATCATTTTGCATCTAATCCTTAAAAATAAATGCTTTTATCATACATTCCAATAGCTGTATTAAATTCTAGTCCTGGCGTTACGAAAACGGATCTTCATAAATGTGGTGGTATGGATGAAGTTGCTTATAGTGCTTTCATTGAACATTCTAAAAGTACTCATGCTCTTGGACGAGTTGGCGATCCAAATGAAGTGGCAAATGCCATTGCATTTTTAGCTAGTAATGCTTCTTCATTTATCACCGGTGCATCGATTCCAGTTGATGGTGGTCGTCATGCTATGTGCCCACGTTAGACTATATTCATTGTTTAGTTTATTGGTCTTTATTAATATAATTGTTTTCAGAATCATGAGTATTAATACCAATTCAGTAACAATGTTTTTGTGAGCTGAAGTCATGCAACGAATTTATTTTGAGAAGTAGAAATTGAGAATGTAGCTTTTTTTGCAGTTTCATGAACCAGATTTCAAAGTTTTTATCTTAGTTTAGATAGCACAAGACTAGCAGGACTATGCATAACAGTTCCCTTGCCTTTGTGTAGCTAGATAAGTTTTTTATACTGCAGTTTATAGAAATAAGTAATTAAAGATTAAATTTTCATAAGCTCATTTCAATCGTAAGTGCTTAAACTGTCGAATTTCTTGGTTTGTTGGGTTTATGACTGAACATTTTTGATGGTGTCAGGTGATCATGAAAATCATTTCGCAATTATGGAAAATAAAAATTGAGAAATCTGATTTTGTTTCGCAAGTGACATTACAAAACATTGCAGTGGAAGAGGTGTGTTTAAGTCAGCAAGATTACTGTCGGTTTTATTTATGTCCGGTAATAATGTGTTCTGAGTTGGACAATTAAAAAAATGATCGATCGTGCCATTTCAGAAGTCAAGAATCTAATCAATTTTTACAGAAAAATCAGGAACGATATCAGTGGTAGAAAATGAAAATGATGAATTCATCATAGGGGATTCATATGATGATGATGTAGAAGAGAATGATTATATTATTGCAAGTCGATCAGAACCAGTCATGTATCCATCAAAACAACAAGATGAGTCATCTTGGCAAAACAGTCATTATCTTTGTCTTGCAAAGCAGAGAAGCTCTGAAGGGACAGATTCTATATCTGAGACAATTTCTAGAAGGTATGAAAAAACGAAGTACCGGCATTTGTTTTTTTTCAAGAAGACCGACCGTGTGTCTGAGAAATTATTGCTGACTTCTAAAAATATATGAACTCCATTGAGGTCAGCATAAAGTTAAGTTTACATGACAAGAATTTTTACTGCATGCAAGTTTTACTATGATTTATATCAGTTTTTAGAATTGTACCAACAAGACGGTATTCACCATCTCAATTTGAACACAGAAGATCGAATTCAAGCTCAACCGAGAAGAAGTCCAGTTACATGCATCGTAATGAAGAGTATGAAAAAATCGGGTCATTTATATTTTGTTTAATCATTAATTTTGCACAGTCATGCTGCTGGCTTACGAAATAGGAATGGTGTAGAATCAGTAAAGTTCCATCGTTTTGTTGAATAGTTTTTTGTTATTCGTCCATTTTCGTCTCAGTGCTGATTAATTTGATATTGTGTGGTACTCAGAAGTCATCTATTAGATTTTTTCGGACAGATATAAAAATCGACACGGATTATGCAGTTCATGCTTTTCTAACTTCTCCTTTATTCAAAAAATATATAGTTCATCCAGATTCACTTCATTTCTGATTTTTTCTACTTCTTTGTAAAAGTATATTTTAGGAATTCGGTACTGAAAAACTCTGAGAAGGAAGTTGTCAGTCATGAAACTATCACTCAACATATAATGTTATTTTCATTTTGTTCTCCATGTTTATGTGATCTTCAAGTGCTGTTTTTTAGATATCTAAAATTTTTCATCTTAAACTCAAAATCTATTTTTTTTAATTTTTATTCTATTCCAGGGAACGAAACAATAATATTGCTGAAATGACTAATGCTCCCGTGTTTCGTGCAAAGTTCATCAATACAATCGCCGATGTTCCACTTGCTGTATTGATGCGTAGTGGATCGTAAGTTTTTGTCCGATAAAAATTCGATTCCCTTCAATTATTTCTTTACTTACTTATTTATAACCTTTTGGTAATGGTTTTCTATCATCTTCTGACATTAGCTGCTTTTGATTTTTAATTACCGCGTACAATTTAGACTTGGTGTAAGTGCTTGCGACAAACCACCTTTGGTGCAGCTTACGGGACATTCGGCATCATTTTCATTTATTGTGGATTTGACAAGTTTTGACATTGTGGACCTTACATATGATGGTTTAAGTGCGCTTTTGTTTGATTTTTATCCTGTGACAAAGAATAGGCTGAGAGAAAATTCATATTTTTAAAATATGTGGAAAAGAAATTTATTTTATTTATAGTGAATTTGAATCAGATTTATTTGAAGTGCATAAATATTTTTTTTTCCGCATTCACTCTGTTAATTTTATCAAGAAACAAATGAATTAATTGAAGGCGGTTGGAGTACACGTGGATTGGTTTCAAAGTTTTTTTTTAACAAAGACAAAACAAAATGTGCTCAGGGAAAGCATGAATATACAATACTGCGGAAAGTTTTGGTTCATCCTCATACTGTTCCACCTAATTCTGTTCGAAAAGTTGTTTGGCAAGTTATGAAAGGCGATGAATTTTGCAGGTACTAATTTTTTGTCGCATACTGAAGAAATTGTTTACTCTTTTTTGAAACCTCTTTTAAATTTTGGCCATCATTTCTTTGAAAATCCTTGTTTTTCAATATTACTTGTTTGTGGGACATTTTAAAACTTGGTTACTTAGCTGTGCTTACATGTAGTTTCATTTTCTTACGTTAAAAGGGGTTTATTGCAACCATAATATGTTTTAGTGCCTGAGCTGTCTAAATGCGATATATTTACGAAAGAGAGAATTTGGCTGATAAGTAATACATTTTTTAACATTAGAATTACGATTACCTTAAAATGTGATCTTTTTCCATTATATTTTATTTTATCGTTGAAATAACACACACAGCGATTTCATTCTCCGTATTAATCTGCAACCAATTTTATTAGTTTTATTCCCATAAGTTTCATAACACGCATTTGAAGATATGCGTTAATTTCGTATCATATCACGAATGATGCCGTGTTAGATAGCAGTGCTTTGGAAATGGATCTTGTGAAAGAAAATGAAGCAGAAGATTCTAGACTTGAACCTGTCATTGTGGCGAGAGATGATCATGCTTCTGTAGAAATTGCTGATCAAAGCGTCAGTGTATCTATTAAGTCTATATAGTGAATGTTGAAGACATTTTTTCAAAAGCTTTTATGTTTCACATTATTTCATTTGTTAATGTGCGTTTATGATTGAATTCTAGTATTTATGGCTTATCATGGAAGAAACTGTTTTAACTTGCTTTACTTATATCGTTTAAACTTGCTTTGATTCGCACCGTTTCAAATATGGAAATTTGTTTTTTGCAGACATCAAATGAAGCAGTGTGTGAAGTTGAAGACAGAGATGATGTTGAATTTTACTTTGAAGGAGATGTGGAGAGTCTCAAGCGTCAATTGGAAGAAATCCCAGAACTAGACTCTGAGTCGGGCTCTTTTATTTGGATGCACAATTATTTGTTTTGTAGAGTTTTCCAAAAATTATTTTTCGAATGCTCATTGTTGCACTTTTTCATATTCATAAAATTTGACGCTGTGAACTTTCAAAATAAGCTCAGAATTTCGATTTATCTTTCAGTGGATTGTGCATGATTACAAATGCACCAGTATTCATGCAGAAATTTGTAGGAACATTGGCAGATGCACCACTGGAATTACTTATACAAGATGAGTAAGCTACTTCCTAATTTATGCAGATTTCAAGTCATAATTTTCTGTCTCACATCAAAATTTGTTTTTAAATTTTAAAGAGTAAATGGCAAGAATGTGGTTTTTTGCTTTGACCTGTGTTTGCTAGCTTTTTTTTTCAGACTAGATGCATCGATCCCCGTATGTACTTATCTTCCTAAACTTAATCTTTATGGAGCTGCTGCTTGTCTTAGTTTTCTGATTGATACAAAATGTTTTCCCGTATCAGATATAAGTGCCGATAATCTTGGTAACTTTTTCTTTTCAGTCGCAGGATAATATCTTGTCTGCTTTCAAAAAGAAATATTCTATAAAAAACTCATATAAATATTATTACTTTTATGTAAATATAGTGCATTTTCTTGGTAAATTTTTTTTCTTTACCGTGATATAGTAGTTATGTAATTTAGCCTTTGATTTGGGATTAATTTTGGTGTGAGAATATTCTATAATTAATTTGCTAAGCAGTTCATTCAGTGTGTTTTGAAAATTATTTACTGGTATTTACATTTAAAGGCCAGTGGAATGCTAAAGATGGACGTAGAATGAGTGTTCGTAAATTCTATTATCGGACTAAAGATAAATCTGGAGTGGAGGAAGAATATTGCGTGATTAGACGAAGATACTTGCATCCTCATTGTATCCCAAATAATTCGATACGAAAAGTTATCTGGCTAATTAAAAAAAAAGAGGAATATTGTCGGTGGGTAAAAATACTTGAGTAATGAGTAATTATGAATTAATTATATCATTTTAATTGAGGATTTAATATTCCTCAATTTTAGCTAGCTTAGTGTTTTAGTACCATATATAGACTACTTTTTATAGAAAAATATGAATTTTGTGATAATTGTTAAATATAAAACATTGACTCAGACACTTTTAGCTATGTGCTAGTTTCATACTATATAGAAGCGGATGCCCATGTGATGCAAATACCACATGGCAATTCTCGTACAAATCAAAGGTGTTACGTTCGCACTTATCCTAGTGAAGTAAAGAAACGATTATTTAACATTAAGCAGGGATGCACAGAAACAAATTCTTCGGAAAAGATCATATTGCATGAACCACATTTTAATGTTACCGAGGAAGTATGTATGCTAAATAATTTTGTTTACTTCCTGCTCATTTTTTTAAATTGTTGATAGCAATATCATTACAAGTTGATAGATGCTCACTGTGATTAATAAAAATCGAGAAATTAAAAACAGATGAAGTAGAGTAATTCGTTACTTAAAAATTTTATAAATAAAGGTTGACGTTGAAGTAGACAATGTTTCTGAAAACTCTGAAGTCGATGTGGATGGTACTAATGCACAGGAAGCTCAAAGTCCTATTATTCCAGATTCCCTCATTTCTGAAAGGTACATATTTTTCCCAATATTTGTTTAACTGTCTCTAAAAGTTTCTGGATATCACGTAATTTGTCCAGTTTTTGTATAAATCATCTGGAATTCCCAACCTTTCAGATATTGAGTTGTTGTGAAAATTTTCATATATACCCGTAAAAGTTATATTTTAATTCTTGTGTACCGTTCTGTGCAAAATTTTTAACTGCAAATATGTTAATTTAGTGAAATGGCTAACAGAATTAGCTTGGTGACAACGAGTATTCCATTCAACTGTTCATACATTAATGCAATCACTGAATTACCGATTGCTTTGCTTCGACAACCAGAAATGTCTGTTTGAGTCCTTAGTTTAAATTTTTGTTCTTGCCTAAGTTAGTCTAAAATCTACTACTGGGTTATGTAGTATGGGTACAAACTAGTTTCGTATTTATAAGGATATTGTCTGTAGAATTAGTGGTTAGTATTCTATTTTCATAAAAATTGAGAACCACTATTATAGAACACCGGGTGTGGCTGAAGTTAATACTGCAGTACCACAAATTCGTTTAATCGGACAAGGTGTACGAATGTCATTTATTGTTGATACATTGCATATTCCATATGTAGAGTGGAACTGGGATGGCCTCGGTTTGTTGTTGCCTTTATTATCAGTGAAGTAACATTTGAAATTTTGAGCACGATTAGGATGGTATCAGCTATTCTTATATTTAGAAGTACAAAAATTAATGAGGGAAAGATTTATTAAGAGAGTGATAAAATACTTGATTATTTCTTAAATAATCCAAAAAAATTCATAAATCATATTGTTTAGGTGCATGGAACACATCACGTGGGAATCGTGTGACTCTGAGCAAATATTGCTATGACTCGGATGATTGTCGATGTGGTACAAAAAGATACTCCTATTGTGTGATTAAAAAAAAGTACGTGCATCCATATTCGGCTCCACCTAGTTCTGTTCGTAAAGTTGTTTGGCTTATCAAGGATGCTGCTGGTAATTATAATAGGTACTCAAATTCATTTTACATTTTTTATATTTATTTTCGATATTTACTAGTTTTCGATATTCGTAGTTTTGTTTGTATTCAAATCAAGCATTATAGATACATGCTTGTTACGTACAAAATTGAAAATGATAGTGTTGTTACAATTAAGCGGATACAGCAACAAATAGGACCAGAACAACGGAATCCAAGACACTCCGTATTAGTTGACGAAACAGTATATGATGAATGGTATGAAGATTTTACTCATGAATAAAGTTTATTCTTTGCAGTTATTTGCTGTGCATATTCACCTAGTTCTGTTCGTAAAGTGTCCATTACAACCTAATATTTTTCATTCAGTTACAGTGGTAACTACCAGTTCAGTAAATAATTAATGTAAAGAATTCTTCATGTAATATCATGTCATTAAGTGAGATAAATCATGAAATCGCTCGAGTAACAAAAAGCCCCGTGTTCTTGAAGCAGTTCATCAACAATGTCAATGATTTACCACTGGATACATTACTGGAATCAAACCAGTAAGTTTTTCATGTTCTTGTTTTTGTCGTGTATTTTATCAGATGATAAATGAGCTTGATTCTTCTAACTTTCGTAGTCTGTGGGCATCTGAATGGTCATATTTGGAATCCCAACTTCAAGATTTTTCTAAAATTATGTAAAGAATAGTTTAGTACCAGATAACTTATATCAGAAAAGTTTAATTTTATTTGTCCAGTATCAACACACAATGTAGAAATAGCTGAGGTTATGAAATTTTTTTACTGAATAGAATTGACGTTTATTTCTATTTTTAGGATTGATGTTCCAGTTTGTGATACAGTACCTCACATTTCGATATTAAGTGAACCGACAAATTATCCGCTACAGATGTCATTTTTGATTGACACGGACAAAGTAGCAATCAGTGACTTGAGTGTTGATAATTTAGGTATCTGGGCAATAAAGTTTTTCCCACTTTTCACGTTCTTCTATATTATATTATGAAATTGGTATAATTTCCACACGTGAGAAATTAAATGAAATTTGAATTGTAACAAATCTATAGGACAGTGGAATACAACTCATGGTCGGAGAATGACTCTTCGAAAATTCTATTTTTCTCAAGAAAGACAACGCTGCCTTGAAGGAAATCATTTTTATACTGTCATACGAAAAACTTATGTCCATCCAAATAGTATTCCAGACGGAATGGTCCGTAAAATAATTTGGCAAATAGATACAGCAGAAGGATATGTGAGGTTTGTAAAATTTTACTACTTACGTTAACCATAAATTTTTTGTCAATGCTAAGCATAATTATTTTTTAACTTTTAGATTTTGAGATTTTCTGCGGTATTTTGAGAGCTAAAATTTATGGTAATAAAATCATATAAAGGATAGCTCGGTACCAGATGACGTGTGCCAAAAAAATTTAATTTTAGATCACTTACTTGAGAGCACTAAGTAATTTTTTCAAAACTTATTTAGGTATTCCTTAATTTCATACGACATTGGCATTAATACTGTAGTTGAAGCTATACCGCATGGTAATTCAAAACGTAACACTACTGTATATCGACGTAAAGAACCAAGCTTAATAGCTGAAATAAAACGTGAACGAATGAAACGGATGTAAGCTTAAATTTCTGTAAAAATTGTACATCTAATTTAATTTTAATTAACCAAAAATATCTGTGTGACTAATTTTTTGCTGTTCAAATTATGCTAAATGGTAGTTATATTGGATTCGCAAAGTTATGATACAAGAAGGTTTTGAGCACAGACAAATGCGCTTATTATTAATTTATCTCGAATTTAAGAGCATATGGTGTCGTCAGTGTTTGGGTACTTTTTAATCAATATTTCAGTGGCGAAAGAGGTCCTATCGAATTAGATGATGCTTTTCCAATGAAACATTCTAGATTGGGGTCTTATGTAACTGGCCCCTCGGGTATAACTCTCTATGAAGATGCTGGTTACGATGGAGTTGACGATGCTTATCCTTTGACACATGAAGAATTGGTTACTAATTATCAATAAAAAATGTTTTCTTTGTTTTTTTAGTTTTTTAAGAGTTATTGTAGTGTTTTTACTACATTTTTCTTTTTTTAGATGAGTCGTATGACACTTCCAAGTTTACGACGGTTTACCCGGCCTTATCATAATGATGAACCATTTAGCGTAGTGTTTTTGTTAGACCAAAATGTGGGCATTGTCCAATGTGCTTCTTGTAATGTTGATTTTTCGCGGCATCCACAACCACCAGAAGATTTAGTTTTGGAGCATGTGGAACGTTTTTGGAACCAAAGAACTGGTTCTTATTCTACTCAACAAATGCAAAAGAAGTTAGTTTTAAGTAATTAATAAGATCCTGATTATTTTTAATCTTTACTAACATTTTATATCTAAAAGGAATTGCAGTAGTAATTCTTCTTTGACTTTTTCGCAACACTTCTTCCATAACTGAACTCTAATTATTAAAGATTTACATGATCTTTTTTTTGCTAAAAATTTGCTACTGTAATTTTTGTTTTTTGTGGCTAAAAATCTTTAAAAAATGAAATTACTCTTTCACCACTTATTGAAATCATTTTCGTAATTTGATGGATAATGGCAGTATGTTTTTGGAGTGTCTTAACAAATAAATTCAAGTTCAAATTTCTCTCTGGTTATTTTTTCAGATATATTCATGCAAGATTAGAATGTGTCTTAGCAAGATATGAATATTTTACAACATTGGATTTTCTTCTGATATCGCATGATGTCCGCATGCGCCTAACTAATGTTCATCAGCAACACTTGAACATGGAGTTTGGTTGTTCTTTTGAGTGATATGGTTCTCGTTACAGTTAATTCTGGAAAAGAATTCAGTTGACAGTGCTGGAAATAACTGATGTTAAATAAATGAGAAATACGATTAAAAAAATTTTTTCTGGTTACTCTTGTTGGTTATTCTTACTAATCGGAAAGTGAACTAGAGTATCATTTCGTTCCATTGCTAAATTTGATCAGCAATATTTTTTTTTTCTCCATGCAGTTTAATCATGGAATTTAGTAGAATCATAAAGTATTTTATTTGTCTTTATGCTTCTTTCTGGTTCTATTCTTGTTTGTAGGACATTTGAACTACAGCTCTTGATTTCACCTATGACACCAAATTTTCATATGTTTTATACTGCATGTGGAAACTACTACTACGTGATATTATCAGATTTTTCAGTACATATATATGCGAAGATCGTATCGCACTGAGAAAAACCAGAGCAGCGAATGTATAGTTTGCCAAATTTTTTTCTTTGTCGTAGCTTTATCAGATATAAGATTTTGTTGTTAGAGCAGAAGTTTGTTTATCTTGGATGTCTAGAACTTTGTTTATCACAAAAGATTGCTATATTGTTTAATATTTTCATGTTTCAAAATATTGATGCAAAAGTGCAATAAAATTATATAAATGTGTTTTTCTCTGATAAGCGTTCCCCATTTTCCGTTGTACTTCACATTATATTCAACTAATAATAAAATCACTAACTGACATGTCATTATTATTATGTTGCCATCACGGACTGGAGGCATTCTGCATATATTCTTTTTTCTAGTTCAATCATTTAAAGAGTTTTTTATTTGTCAAGAAGTATTTGAGTTAAGGTTGTCTTTACTTTTGAAAAGAAGATGTTTGGTAATTAAAATATTCTCTCTTCGAAAGATTTTATTTGGAAAACTGAATTCGAATTGTTTAAGACATTGTCACATTAAGCTGTTTTTCTAGACATCGTCCTCGTTGTAATGGCTGACATAAAAGAAGGAGGATCTTGTAGTTTGAAAGGAGATGAAACAGTTAGACCTGAAATGGTAAAAGCGGCTTGGCACTTCATGATGGCGCCAAAAGTAAGGCAAACTTCATGTGAGGAGCAGCGACGATTCTTACTTGGAAAAGGCTTGACTGCTACTGAAATTGATTTAGCATTCAGAAAATCGTCAAATATTTGTAGTTCAGTAAGTATTATAAAACGAATCATCTAGAAGAGTTTTTTCCAATTCTAGAAATCAGGTGACGTGTGAAGTTTTCCTTGTTTCTCTACTATTCTGGACTATTGATCAAGATTATGTCATTTTTCTTCACTAAGTTTTGCCCTCCATGAAAGCTGTACTTTCGTACCAAAAATGGGTTTTTAACCTATGCGGTGTGCATTATGGCAACGATTTTTCATCTTGTCTATATTTCTATAGTTCATATGGCGGCAGTGTAGGTAATAAATTAGATCACTGCTATTAGTATTAATACACATATTATTTTAATTCTTAGTTGTCATATTTCAGTACTACTGGATGTTTTCTTACGAATTCAGAAATTCACATTCATAGTAATTTGTAACAGTCTTTCACAGATCTCGTCTCTTGATTTTGTATTAATCAGTTCTTATAATCCTATGACTTCAGTTGGTAGTGTTTAAGTCTTTTAAGAATCAATCATTTACAGTATAACGATCAAACTATTATGGATCGAAATGTGGTATCGTCAGATTCATTCATGAATTCACTGGAATTCCCTGCGATCAGCAGTTTTTTTCAGCTTACCAAATATGCAGTCATTCTAGCAGGTGCTTCATTTGCTTCTTGGAAACTGATAAGTTCGTACATTTACCCTCGTCTCTTTTCCATTTCCAAACCGCTAGAAGAAAGAATCCTTATAGTTGAAAAGAAGGTTAGTTATTAGTATATTGTAAATTATAGCTCTAACTTATGATGCTATCCGTAATCGCTCTATAAGAAATGTTAGTAATTTCTTTGTATTAGTAAGGTACAGCTTTGGTTAAAAGTTATCAACTAAGAATTTGGAATTTGGTTAAAAATTATCAACTAAGAATTTTCGTTGAACCAGGAAATAAATATCATTAGATTATGTAGTTACATCAAGTAAATAAGTTTTCATCGTCATAGGAATTGAAAATAACAACTTCTCAACATTCACGTTTGCTACTCATAGTTATCTATTTTCAGGTAAATGAATTGCAAAATATAGTTCGCCACGCGACAGCTGAGTTACTTCTGAAGTTACAAATTATTATCGATCAGCAGGATGTCATTGATCAAATTTCAAACCAGAGTGATAGTGGTCGTAAGTAATTTTTCTGTTTATTTTTTTAATATTGCTTTACAGTTTCAGTTTTCGTTTAGTAATTTTAATTGTATTTTATTCTTACATTTTGAGCGCTGTTCTGTACGAATGAATTTCTGTTCATTTTTTGGTTGTTTTTTTTAAATTGTGCGTAAAGCTACCAGATTCTGTTTCTTTCGTAATCTTTGAATTTAAAGTTTTCATTATTTAAAAATTCAGCTTTGAAAGGTTATAATGTTTTCACTCGCTTATAAGTTTCTTTCATAGTAGCGCAGCTTGAAGCAGTACAAAAGGGTGTCCAAAGTATCATTACTACTCTTACAACTAGAGAGCATCTTTTAGCAGTTCGACCACTCGCAAGAAAGCGTTCCGCTAGAGGTTCTGGGAAGTTAGAAGCTAAATCGCATTTTGAGAATGATAATCTGTAAGATTATTAATAGTGGTAAAAAATATAGGTTTATGTCGCTTAGGAACGTGAAAACTTTAGTAAACTTCGATTTGAGCTGTTTTTTATTCTGCTGAATTTTATTCCTGCTGTAATTTACCTTAAGCTTATTAAATAATATCGACGTACTTTCGATTTATACAGTTTCTCATTTTTCTTTTGAAACAATTTTGAGCTAGAAAAAAGCCTCAAAATTTCTTGGAATCATTTCAGACCTGCGTCTTCTATAAACGGAAGCTTGGAAGTACCTTCTTCATGTGATCAATCTTTGTAAAAATTTGATGAATTATGACTTCAAGGAAGTCATAAAATTTTGCTCTGAAAATAGAGTCTTTACGTATTGAATACTTCGTAAAGACTTGAAATTTAACGCAAAATGATGAAGATGATAGTTATCAAAGGAAAGCTGAAAGTACTAAATAACCTTTATTGTGCTCTTTAAGATTTCAGTCTAATGTTTTTACTGTTTTTATATGATGTTTTTTCGTAAAATCATCTATTCTAATTACACTATTTGAGGTAGTTCTTGAAGTATGTGCTTTTAGTATTGTTTGGGTGTTTGAGTTGAATTTTTTTGTAGTTTTCTATATAATATATGACTTTTCTTGTTTCTAATCATACATGTGAAAAAATTTGAATTGGAAAATGCAGACATTCAAAAGGAGTCATCCTGGAACTCAGTATTTGTGTTATTAAATCATTATCATTTAAATTATCCGGTTTTTAAATTGTTTGTTTATTGCTCATTATCACACTTGTCACCCATATATTTGTGAAACATGCGTATATGAAAAACTAAGAATATATTCACGAAAAGCTTCTGTGGTTCCTACATCAGAAGTGACTTGTGAAAAGAAATTGCTAACTATCGTCACCTACATCATGAAATAAGCTTATTGAACACATATTAGAGCAAGCTCTTAATGATGGGGGATCCAGTGGATCTAAAGCAGGTGTAAGTGCAAATCACCAAACAGTTGTTTGCAAATAGTGCCGAGACTTTGGGTCAAATTAAGGTGAGTGAGTGGTAAACTAACGGTGAGAATTTTTAGAAAGATGCTATTCTTGAAATTTCTCTATTTCAACCTGTGAAATTTGAAGAGTGCAAGTTTTTGATTACATGCGAGAAGTAGGTAATATTGCATCGCTTCTTTACAAGTGCAAATCATCAAACTGTGTTTTAATTTGGGTGGTTTTCTAGATTTCTAAGGTATTCAAGACGATTATACTCGCGAATTAAGTTGCTAGTTACGCACGCGCAGTAGAAGAGCTTGAGATATTGGGTTTTATTTCCAAGATTTTGCTTTAATGATTCAGGTTATAAGTATGGTTGAGGCTTTTTCCTGTAATGACATTGGTTTCAAAAAAGAATAGTTACTATTATAAAAATGATTATGATAAGTGATAGTAGTAACTGAACTTATTGGAAGAGTATAATAATTTATATTTTTAATGAATTTTAATGTTATGCATTACTTAACATTTCTAATATGTAAGTGAGCTCCAAATTGGAATTCATACAAATTTTTTAAATGGAAAGCATAAATTGATAGTGATAAGTTATTTGTTTCAGGAAAATTTCTTTCACCTTGCAAAATTTTGTCAGCGCTATTTAAATTTTTTCAATAAAATGGTAAGCAAATAAGTACTGGTATTACCTTCGCACTTTTCATCATGATTAATTAAATTGCATACTTTATTAATTATTGGTTACTTTTTGTTCCATCATTCATATTTCATACTTTTATGGTGTCTATTTCAAACTTACAAGTAATTTCTGCTTGTTTATCATCCAATTCATCGATTACTTAAAGTTAAACTGTTGTTTATCAAACAAGAAAGATAAATTTAAACTGAAAATTATTTTACATTTGTGGTAAATAGTATGACAGACGTTCAATTAAGCATTCCATTTTATCAGAAACGAGTAAATCAGTTACTTAACTGATTGAAAACTCATCATGAGTAATCAGTTCATTTCTGCTTTTTTTCTTATTTCTTTGACATTTAAAAAATACTGCAGTGTTGTAAATTTCTATGTAGAAAGTTACTTTACGAGACACCAGTAAGTCAGTTACTTTGCTGATTGAAACTAATCTTTTTTTGCAATTTTATTTTTAAATTTTAATTATTGCTTGAACTTTTCGCAATTACTGCTTAAACTTTTGTTATTTTCCTTTTGCAAGTGTTTATTTTTTATTTTCTAAACTAATTTGATATTTTTTTCAAACTTTATCATTTAGTCTGAGATTTTTTATTATTTGTGACTTACAATTACTGTGAGCAGTTTGCAATTTTGACAGCGTTAAATAAATGAATTATTCAAAGTTGATTGAAATTGATTACAGCTTTAGTGTGATTGAGATTGTACTGATAGTAACTTTCTACCATTACAATTGTACTACTAATTGTGGCAATATTAACTGTAATAATGATAAATATGAGATTAACATTGTAAAGTCTATAAAAATTATTAGAATATATTAGTGATTGCATATAAGAAATTGCGTCCAAATGAAAAAAGGTGATTCAAAAATCTTATAAAAATCATTTTTTGCACTTCAAAAGCTTTTACCTATTACACATTTGACTTACTACATAAAGTAGTAATTCACACCGGTTTCAGCTCTGGATCACAGTTTTGTTCGAAGTAATGAGAAGTAAGAGCGAATGACTCTATTTACTTTTAAATTAGCAATTCTTTCACAGAAACTGAATAAAAAGAGCATTTTCAAGCGCTTAATTATTTCAAGGCTTAAAATAGATTAACTTAAGATCATTTAGCACTGTGATATGATGTATCAAAGAGAATTGTAAGAGGAAAGTTATTAAATAAACATTAATATTTATGACTGAATAGCAGTTAAGTATTTATAGTACACTAATAAAATATGGCAACGATTATCATTCATTAGTTTATAATTTGTTATATTATTTCTCTGGTCATAGTTGATGTTGCTGCGCAGTTAATAGATAAACTTTTGGGATTTTGTTTTCAGTGCATATTTACTATAAGGATTTTTTGTAGCACTTTTATATTCTAATTTTGATGCATAGAGCTTTTTCAGTCAAGTTTTACAAGTAAGTACATAAAGTGAACTGTTATTAGTGCTATTTAGAATATAAAAAGAATTTTATGCAAATAAGTTATAAGATTCATAGTACTGAAGTCGTCATAAAAGTTTCAGAAGCAGAATTTAAAAATTTACAAAACTTTGGAAATAATTTGATGTGATTGCTCTTTAGACAATATATTTAATAAAAACTTTATAGTCAAAATTTTGCACACTTCTGACCACTGAAATTGAAATTTATTACAAACGTTTTTATTCAAAATTGATCCTTTGAGAAGAATCTCGTATTTACATTTAAGCCATCGTATTTCATTCCACATCTAGGCTTATCGTTAAATTAGTTGCCCCTTTGTTCGTTTCAAAAATCGGTTATTTTTTTGAATTTGTATTATTTGTATTTATTTTAGCTACTTCACAACCATATTTAATAAAGCTCAATAAAAGAGATATATCTCTTGACAAATTGTATCGCAAAATTATTACTTCATGAATACAGAAATTGAATGCTTTATTTTTCAAAAATTTCCAAATTATATATTTTTTTCTAGCGTAGTCTTATCTGATAGAATGATAATTTTTTAATGAATAAGTCCATTAGAAAGAAAAGTACCAGTGATTAAGATAAAATGAAAATAAGTGTGTTTGCAATAATAGTCCTGACTAAACAATCATATTTACTATCATCGCTTTAGAAGTTATAATTTAAGACTATGACCAGAAGAAGTTTATTCCAGCTTACTTTTAATTGTATTCATTAGAATGTTTTCCCATTAAAAATATTACATTTCATGAGTCGACCATATCTATCTTATATCAGTAGTGGTCATTATTGGTCTTTTTGATACTATATTATTACTTATCCAGAGGGATAAACTTCTTTTTACAGATTGTTCATGCAAATTTTTTACACTTTCTTTGCACTATTTGCATGTATTGTGGAAGATTATGTAAATTCAGCAAATAATTCGAGCAAATGGAACCAAACAGAGTTTAGAAATTTCGATAATAGATCGACATCAGCACTGTCAACAATGATTACTGTTCTTAATACAATGGTTGCAGAAGCTTCAGTTAATGCTACCATTTCACCAGAAATGTACACATTAATATCATCAACAAGTGCATCTCCAACGACCGTAACTAAAATTAATATATTACCCCTACCACTGCTTAAATCAGCAATTACGGTAAATACAATATCTAAAGAACATGCTGAGACAACAGCAAAAAACTTGCAGCTTGTAACTACTGCAGTTAAACAGTCAGTAACAGCACTGCACAAAGCCGAAACTTTGCCACGTGATCAAGTACAAAAGGCAACAATTACAGAAGAATTTACAGTAAAAGCCACAACAGACGAAAAACCTGTCATTCAATCACAAACAGAAGCAGTGCTATCAACAACACTGACAAATGCAGCAGTTACGGAGCCAACAAAAATCACAGTATTACAAGCACCAACATCAGTAACAAATATCGGATTACAGACACCGTTAGCATCTATCAGAAGCATGACCGTACCAGAAATATCAACAACAACGATCAGAACATTAGCAAATCTAGAAAATATGTTAGCAACACCAACCAATATAGATATTGCGGTGGAAGGAATAATGTCAGAAACAGACGTAGTTAGAGCAACTTCATCTGTAATGACAGCAGTATCTTCACAAGCACAAACAATACCATCGCCATCAGCAACAACAGACACATCAGTAATACCATCATTAACAACACCAACACTATCAATGACAGAAACAACATTAAATGTGCTGTCATCAGAAATACCATCCCATTTAGCAAAGATATTTACAAAAACAACCGTAATACCAACATTGCTACCATCATTACCACATTTAGCGGTAGAAACAATGTCAGTAACAGAAGCAACAACAACAAGCAAAACAAATTCAAAAACATCAGTAACTACGTTAGAAACGTTAATACCAGATGAAATTAGTAACATCAGAATTATAAATGATTCTAAAATGCTAGAACGGAAACAGTCAGAAGCAGAGCTTATTTTTCTTTACACTGTGAGTACATAAAAGTTATACATTACTTATTCAATTAATATCAGCTTTTAATAACACTAACAAATTTTATTGAAACACATTTAAATAACCTATTTAGAGCAATTGGTAAAGCATATTTTTATTGCTATAGATATGGCGACACGGTGATCGAGCACCCTTATCAATATATCCTACAGATCCATACAGGGAATCGACGTGGCCCAATGGACTCGGCGAACTTACAGAGGTCAATTCAATACAGTGATTTACAAAACATGATTATTCATAAATAATTCTATTTTCATTAAAATTTCACATTTAAACATCTATCTTATAGATTGGTATGAGACAATTATTTAAGATTGGACGACGTATGAAGCAGCAATACATTAATTGCACTCCATCCTTCTTGTCTAAGAACTATAACCATCGAGAGGTGGGAAAATATTCTTGCATCTAATTTTTCAATTATAAAAAGAACAGTTAAAAATTTTCAAACTTATTTGATTTCAAGCTATAATTAAGGATTTACTTTAATTTTAACTCTAACAGTAATACCTTGTAAAAAGTAACAGTAACACGTGAAGATTCACATCGATTTCTTCAGTACTAACTCATCATAGTAAAGCAACAAAAAATTACCAATATTTTGACGTGTAATTATGCTAGCATATGCTAAGCAAATTAAATTCGAACAAAAATTCTCTTTTCGGTGCAAAAAGGCTCGAACTTAAAGATAAAAAATTTATGGGGATTGGTATTACTGAATGTACTGCAGAATATTACAGAAGTTAGCTAAATTTTGCTGAAAATAAGTGGTAGCAAAATTTATTTTTAGATATATTTACGAAGTACCAATGTGAACAGATCTTTAGTCAGTGCAATGGCACTTGCAGCAGGAATGTTTAGTAATGGTATTGCGGGGAAGGATTATCCACGAATGGAGGACGAAGAAGAATGGCCTCATGGATGGATACCGATCCCCATTCACACAAAGGATGTCAAGTACGACTACGTACGTATAAATTTAAAACACACGTTACAACGTGTAAACGAACCTTTTCAATTCTTTACAGATAGATAATCCGAGTATTTCAAATTAAGTTTTTTGTCAATTTCGTTTTTTCTTTTTATCAAAATTAATTAATATTCAATTTTGCAGTCAGCAAATCCATTCCGACGTTGTCACAGAGCACAATTTTTAGAGCAACAAGGATTTGTTAGCAATGATTTCCATCAATTATTACTGAAAAATCAAGCAAATTAGTTTCTTTCTTGATCAATTTTACTTAATTATTTTTTCTTATTTACATATAAAATGTTGGTTAAGATAAAAATAAAAAGGAGAAACTTGAAAATTTTATGCAGCTAAGCTTTTTTTAGTATTCTCTTTACAAATATTTACATACTTTTCATTTATTATAAGTGATGTAAGTTCAGGAACTTCTGATGTATATATCAAATGTTACGGGGAATCGAAAACTTAAACCGGAACAAAATCTCTATCACGTTTACGATACGCTAATTGTTGAAGTAAAAAGCAAACTGCTACAAGTTTTTCTAGAAGTTAAAATATTAGAAAAACTTAAATTTTGAATTCAGTTTCACTTTTCTGAATGCCTTGATACTTTGTTTCTTGACGGAATTAGATTAAATTAACTGCTATTATTAAAGTATTATTATAAAACATGCTTTAATTAGTTTTTTGTTTTTTAGAAGTTTTTATTCATGAGTATTATAGCGTTTTCATAATTTGATCCAACCAAAATGGTTTACGACGCAAATTGAGAAAGAAATGAAAGTTCTAAGAATGGAATTGAGGAAATATAAGTGAGTAAATATTATTTTTCGGAGCAGTTTCTGATTTTTTTGCTGAAAATTTAAAGTCAAAAATGAAAAATGTAAATAATTTGTGTAAATTTTGGATGGAAACAAAAAAATTATATTTGGAAACAAATTCTATGAAGTGAATTTAAATATTCAAATTCTCTTGCATTCGAAATTAATTTTAATATGAATTAACTGTATCAATTTCAAATATGGAAATGCAAGATATTTTGGCAACAATAGTGAATTGATCCGATTACGTGGAGGTGCCATATTAGCAGAGATCATTAATCGGTTGATCAAAAAATGGAAATGTATAAAAAAAGCTGATCGAGAATGTTTTTGGTACAGAAAAATCAAATTTTATGGACTATCCGCTGTATACATTCGAATATTCTATGACATTTCAAAAATAATCAAAACTTAAAATTTTCTAGTACTTATTTATGAAATTAGCACTTTCAACAACGTCATTTTTTTTAAATTTAAAATATTTAAGAAATTTTGAAGCAATTTTTTATAGTTTTTCACTGAGAGATACAAATATTCAGCAAATTTTTGCTATTTATTATGAATTTATCACTGAATTTTACAGCACGATACAACACTTGCAGCACTGCTAACAGCACTTGAAGCAAATGTTAAAGATGCGGATATTAATGGCCCACAATACGGTGCTACGGCAACCTTTGAACTTTACCGTGTTAATAATAAACCATACATAAAGGTTAGTTATTGAAATTAGCAAGTACTGAACATAGCCATGTAAATAATACTTGTTAGTATAGAACAAAAAGTTGAAAAATAAATTGATGCAAGCTTGCAGATTTCTTTTAAGGTTTAGTCTCAAAAATTATTCTTGAAGACTGAATTTGAAAGCAAAAAAATACTTATTTTTGAACACACAAGAAAAGTGAAGTCTTTCGATTTCTTGAATTTACAACCCCGATTTCTCACTCATTCTTCAGTTTTTATATTCGAATATATATTCTGATGCACCTCGGGCGATGACTCATTTAGTGCCAGAATGTTCCTCGACTTTTGACCTCTGCCCATTAAGAAAGTTTGTCACAGGACGAAGGCGGTTTTTGCCAGTCAATATCAAGAAAGAATGCAATATTAAACGCAATAGGATACAAAGAAGTTAAGGTTGTATTCTAAAACTTTTAGACTTTCAGAAATCAGTTTGATCTAGCAAAGGTCTAAATTTTTCGAATAAGATTGAAGTTAGGGATACTTTCGTTTTAGAAATTTGTTTACCACGTTTTGTTTCGCAATTCAAGAAGCTATTTGGAAGTTCATTCTCTTCAGCACAAAACACTTCAATCTTTTCAGTTCCAAAAAGTTTGTCAAATATTTTAACATACATTGTAATTTACATGTATGCAAATTTTTCAGGTATGGAACATTTTGAAAGGTTGAATGGTTCTAAAAAGAGCAGTATTTTAACAGTTACAGATTTAATGCTTTACAGTAATTTAAAAGTTTCTGTGCAGAAAAGCAAAATAAAAAATTTCGATTTCTGTTTCACTTAATAATAGATACACTGGTACAAATATAAATTTTACAGTCCATGCAAAAGGAACGCTAGAAATTCGGATAACTTGACAGTTTGTTCTAAAAACTACAAAGTTGTATCAAATTCAAAACTAAAACGAATAATCAAAAAATGAATAATACAAAAGGTAGACGATGGCATTACTTTGAATATACTTTTATCAACACAATGAAAAATCGCAACTTTTTGCAACAATGCTGATGAATTTGGATTTATTCAATAAGAAGAAGAAAGTTTTAAAAACTGTAAAGCTGTATATTCAGCATTTATTTCATCCTTCGATAAGTATTTAAAATCAAACAATATTTTACAGTTACATTTGGTTTTTTAAATTTCTATCAGAAAAACACATTTGAAAAATAAAAATAAATTAGTACAGGCATAATTTCAAATTTATTCCTTCACTTACGCTTCAAATTGCTAAAAATGTTTTGCAACTTTCTGATTCTTCCATCTTTGAATTCTTTACGCATTTCGATAGTTTGCCCAATTCGGAGGTGTTGATCTCGAGCTTCTAGCTTCGTTGATTCCCACATTGACATATTACCTCCTGTCAAATCGTTGGAAATATTTGGGTTTCTATAAGATCTTAATTGTTCGATGCATATACTGGTGAATAGAGCAATTAGTTAAACGACTACTTCTATAAATTTTAAAAAAAATAGTAGACTTTCAACTACTGCAATAATTGGAAGCAAAATAAGCATGAAAAAGTGAAATAGCTTTGTATGAAACAATTACAATATTTACAACGTAAAGATTTAGAAAGTATGAGATTGAGGGATTCATTTAAAGTAAAAAATGTAATATAATAATCACAGTTAGAAAGGAAATGAGTCAAAGGGTAAAGTGTTGTCGAATTGGCAGTAAACCCCAAATTCGGAATGTTCTGAATTCAGTGTCATTTATTACGCCTAAGAGTATTATCAGACGGTGTATTTTGGTTTATAATTTTGGTACAATTTTGTTTATAATAAAAAAATAATTTTTTAATTAGTAAATATTATTTTGAAAGTTTCAGCATATTTTATACATAACAGCATGGATTAAGTAAACGAATTTTATGTCTGTAGGGCTTTCTTTCTTCGCTTGTATTATCATATGACATTGATACGTAAATAGAGAGTATGAAAAATCATCATTCATCGTAAAGAGAGTAACGTAAGTATTTTTAATAAAAATAAACTGATAACGTGAAAATTGAACGTTAAGAATAAAAAAGAAATGCGATAATACCAAACATTTTACTTTTTTGAATACATTAAAATTTTACAGTACTAAACAAAAATTGTCATGTGATCAAGACATATAAAAAATTAGTTTTATTAGACAATTTTTATCAGATATAAACAAAACAAATGAATTCAAATTTAACTTAAATTTATTTAGGAATGAACAAAACCACAATAGTAATTATTTTTACATTTAAATAACTTTTTATGAAAGCAAAATTTTTTGTCAATATTTATTTTAATATTCAAAAATAACCAACCCGTATTTAATAAAATCAGAAATAGCATGAGTGAAAAATCGTGTAATTCTTTTATCCATTTCAGTTCTGACAAATCTTGAAATAAAAATATTGGCTTCCAAAAAATAAATTAACTCTACTCCATGAGTTGCTTCTAAAATTAAACTTTAATTCAGATAATAATTTATTAATTATTAATCAACTGTTTTTTTTTCCTACAATTTTATAGAAATTATTGCAAAAGTAAGAAATGCTTGCTAATAATGGTTGGAAATATAACTATTTTAAAGTTGTCTTCATCCAGCGATAAAAGTTAAATAAACTTATTATTAAAAATAATCCTTATTGTAAAACACTGTATTTAGATTTATCTTTTCATAATTTTAATAAACAACTTGAAATGCTCATAAATCTTTAACTAATGAATGATAATTACAAATTATTCATTATTTGCTTACTTTGATCAAGGCATATCTAAGCAACATAATGACTTCATGCAATCTTATTAACTTATATTTATTTACACTTAATTTATCATTATGAAAAGATTTCATATCTAATAATTTTGGGGTTATTTAATATTATAATAAGCTTGTTTATGAAAGAGATTCAGGAATATAATAATTTTTAAATATTTTTTTTATAACTAATCTTATTATATTTTCTAAATTTGTACAAGCGACTTGATAAGATTTCTTAGTTAATTTCTAAAAGCGAAAACCAAAACAAACTTTTATAAGGTAAATACAAGTTTAGAAAACCATAGCAAGCCGGATTACAGTACTCCAAAGAAAACATGTAAACAGTCTCACCACGTTCTACTGCTTTATCTACATACCATTTTGTTCCATAATTACACGTAAAATCATCAAGCATCTGAAATTATTTTCATTACAAATTAATTTCTATTTTATTATGAACTTTAAAGTTATTGTGATTTTACTACCTTTTTTTCAAAACATAATCAGTGTTTTAATTATTAAATTTTTTAAACATAAAGTACTGATTGCCGTTGCGTTGTAAAGAAGTTGACTGTATTAACAATGAATGCACAATTTAATTAAATAATAATAAGTTTATTTAGTTTTTTTTTTAAATATGAATTTTGTGGTACTAAAATAATTTCAATTAGGCAAGTTGATTGCAATTTTACGACTGTTCCAAATAATCAAATCTTATGTATGGGAAAAAATTGCTGCTAACGTTTGAAAACTACTTTTCACTATTTCATCTCATTTGACGCATAATTTCTTCGTCTTACAGTGATTCCACGTTTTGTTAAATTGCTTTACCTTTTTTCATAAACCCAAAATTTTTTTGATCATTTTATATTATTTTATGCTACAAAAAATTAGTTCTCACGTTAATAAAAGCACGTTGTGTATTTTGTCGACTGTTTTCATCGCAATTTGCGTGAGGGAAGTAAATATCACTGATTACTTGACGTATATTGATTTCACTTTCTTTCACATATTTATTCACAGCTTGAATTGCCTTTTCAATATCATTCTGATCACAAGGCATTCGATTTAATGCAACTGTAATTCATCTAACGCTAGGGAAAACTTTTAAATCTTTACATTTGTACATTTGTGCGTAATATTTTTTTATTTGTTTCATTACGATTTTATCATTGTTATTATTCATCGCTAATAATAGCTATAATTATCATAATTAGCAACTATTATGTGTAAAATTTTGTGATCATAAATAAAATTCGCGCTAGTAATTAACTTATTATTTCTCATGCATAATTTATAAATGAAAGTCATTCATCATTACTGCAAAAATCAAAGTTTAATTAAGAAATTGCTGCTATGAGAAGATATATTTAATATCAATGAAAATATTTAAAATATTGAATAAAGTATTGACCAAAAAGCAAGCCTTCATTTTCTGTAACACCAACTATAGATGGTTTCGTCGGTGCTAATTTTCGAAGTTCTTTAATCGAACATGGAATCAAATCACCATCCACAATCGGTGTTAAAGGTAACAAACCAGTTGCGAAAAGTTCTTTATTACCAATTAAATTATCAGCAAGTTTTGAAGCTGGTAACTTGCGTAGAAATTTTATCATCTCTTTGTTATCACTGCCTAAAACTTATCAGTTATAAAACAAAATAATAGAAATAGATTTTAAGTGCTAAATAAAAACAACAAACGGAGTGTATGAAATATAAAGTTTATTCAAAAAACATTTTGATGAATAAAAATTTCACCAATTACATCGAGATTTTTCAAATTTTTTCCACCACATTAATTTTAATAAAAAAATAACAACATATCAATATTTGATCCAAAGTATAGGAAACAAATATATAATATTCAAACATATTTAATAATGACTACTGTTTTTTGAATATTTTTACCTTTCCAACCTAATTTTTGAGCTCGCTGACGACAATAACTTACTACTCGTTTTGATTTAGCAACTGCCCAAGGACATTCAGCATTACCACTCAACAACACGACCCGCTTAAAGAGATCTATAAAATTTATTGTTTTGGTTTAAAAAAAGCTTTAAAATGTTATGGGATGGTTTAAAATAAGTTTATGCAAATTTAAAAAAGGCAATTTTGAAATCAGAAAGTAATTTGTGCTTAAAATGATAAATTAGCACATGAAAGTGCTTAAAATTTAGGTGGTAATGTTTTCTAAACTTTGCAACAACAACAGAATAACTTTTATTGTTGATCGATTTTTAGCTGAGTTTAAAAGCTAAATTCCATGTTATTTTTATTCGATTCAGTAAATATTAAAAGGTTAACATTAATCTCGTGTTTGATCAATGTATTGAAGTGAAAACCTCGGCTATAAGGTGATAAACTCAACAGATCAGCAGATGCAGCACCGGCGCTTTGGCCAATGATGGTAATCTGATCAGGATCACCTCCAAAGCATTTGATATTCTCTTTCACCCATTTTAATGCCATTATCTAAAGATATTTATTATCTGTTAGGCAATAATTTCTTGGATCAGAAGACCAAAATAAAAATTCAAAAGCAACAAGAAGAATGAACCAAAAACCTGATCCCAAATACCGAAATTTCCTGGACAAGTAGAATCTCCAGTTGTGAAGAAACCAAGAAAGCCTAGTCGGTATTGAATTGTTACAGCAATCAAATCTTTAGACACCAAAAGTCTGTAATTGAGAAAAACTAGTTATTAAGATAAAAATATTAGAAAATATCAATGCTTTCAAGCATAAGTAGAAATTAAAATTCTTCAGATGATTTTTTTCTTTGCCCATTAAAAATGAGCAAAGAAAAATTATTATTAAAAATTGTCATCCAAAAATATTCATTCACTAACTGTATATAATTGGAAAACAAATCTACCACTTGAGAACAATATTTTATCCGTTTTAAATTCTATTTCAAACTTAGAAAAATCAAACTTTGCAATTTTTGAATAATGATATCGAACTGCTGAATCGATCACATACCCACCGCCATGAATGAAAAACATTACCGGGAAGCCATTTTTCTATTTAAAAATTTGAATTATTACCGATAAATGGTTGCTAAAATGAGTGTGAAAAGCAATTTCAGATTTTCAAAGTTTTTTTCGGCTAAAAATTTAAACAAAAGTGGAGTACATTTCGGGAGGAATTTTAATTTTCCCACGTCTATTACATTTATATGTAAATGAAGCATAATAAAATCGAAACTTTCTTCCAAGTAATTTTAAGCATTAAGATTTACAAATTCTGACGGCGGAGTCCATCCCGGACTGATAACATTCAAATACAAGCAATCTTCACTTTTAGACACTCGAAGATCCAGTCGATCCCAAATATAATCATTCTGTGGTGCTCGATTTTTGTATCGTTTACACTTCATTACACCAGTCCATGATTCTGGTGGCTCAGGTTTCTGTAAACACCTTAATTATAGATCAAAACTTTTTCTTTCTTGTTCTCCTAAAAAAATAGTTGACTGAAATGTTAGAAAAAGCAAAGCAAAACGTTAAATATCAATTTATTTTCCGTTTTCTGTTGCAACAATCTATCATATCACTTGTTCAAGTTATTTGTTATCTACTGTAAATAACTTAATCGAAATCGAAATTTTTGCATTTTTCTTTATACAAAAATTCCTTTTCTTAATTTGCAGAATCTATTCATCTGAAAAGGAAGCTAAATTTTCTGAAAAGTCGTTGAAAATTCTTTCGTTAAAATGAAAATAATAAATTTTTGTACTATAAATGACTTCAGAACTTATAAAATTTTTTCTTGATATAAATATAAATGTATAATATTTATCAGAAAATATTTGCAAATGAAAAATATTTGAATTTTTGATATTTAATAATCTGACATAATTTAGTTAAAAATCTCTATGCAAGCTGTAAAAACATGCAATGAATAAGAGCTTAAACTCAAAGATAATTCAAATGAATGGAATATTATTTATTGAAAGTTTACTTCACTTTCTTACATTGCAATAAAAGTAAACAAATAATTTGCGTAGTAAACTGACTTTGAATCGACGTTCTCCTGTCGGGGCCTTCGCGTAAGGGATACCAAGAAACACGTCAATAGCTCCCTTCTCGCAAAGTATACGTGGCTTACCCTCAACGATACCATTTTTTGTATGAATTTGCCTCGGTTTGCGGTCTTTTGCTATGTTTTTCCGATACCGACAGAATTTTACCATTTCCATAATAAAAAACGTGAAAAGTTTCAATATTAATTGATTAATTAACTGAACGAATGAATGAATGAATGAATAAATAGAAGGAAGGAAAGACACGTTTGGCGTCAATTCTTAGAATTGCTGT